TTTGACTTACCAATTGCGACAAAAGTTTTTTTTTGCAGATAAAGCAAATAAAGAATACAGTTTGAAATATTGATTTACATCACCATGATATAATAATACATACATGAAAAGTGTTTAATAACTATTTCTGGATGTTTGATTGTGTGATTTTGTTTGATGAGAAAAAGCAGGTACCGTGATACCACCTGGAGCCCGATCTATATTTTTAATTAACGACTAATCGGACTTTTACTGTTTTATTAACGGTGTAACACGGGTGTAACATGTGACCTAATTAAATAGATGCTATCGATAAGGCTTAGATAACAGTATTAAAACCGTTCAATTATAGGAATTATTCGGTTTGATTTCAAAGATAACAGATAACCACTTAAAAAAAAAAAATTGCATCAATTAATTGTATATTTATCAGATTATTGATTGATCTAACGATAAAAGATAACTTTACATAATGTGTGAGGTGTGCATAATCATAAACCAACCGACAAAAGCCGTCTTAGGTCATGATGCAAGTGTTAGGAGACTTAAATTCGATATCGATAAGAGAATCCTTCATTATAGACAATGGATGCCGTAACTGAGCCGCGTGATATTCCTTTCGCGAAGGAGACAAAACCAGCGGATTCCATAAATCCGATTGCATCGAAACTTGTTGCTAAACCATCAAAAATTCATACCAACCTTTCCAAGACTTCATCTAATGAAAAACGATCTGTTGGTTTCATTATTCCTGAAAAAAATAATTCTCAAAATGTTTCGACTGCGGTAGTATTTGACGATGATTCTACCATAGTTTCCACCCCTATTGATGAATTTTTCCTGGATTCACCCGGTGCTTCCTCAATTGACATTTCTGTTCGAGATTTAACTTCTGATATTTTGGTTGCTCTCGTGGATCGTGATGTAGAAATTAAAGATCTTTTCGTCCGTAATCAAGATTATTTTGATTTTGTCAAACAAACTGCCTTCTCTTCCAATGTTCGCTGGCAAGAATTTCTTAACGTTCTATTCTCGCCACGTGAAAAAATTCCCGATTTTGATTGGATGAACACAATCTCTAAGTTATTAAGTCCTCCACTTTTGGTTAAATTCAAAGTAATTGTTGGGTATTACGACGATGAAGAAGAAAATGATAATATCGATGAAAATGATTTTGATGATGATTCTTCAGCTTACACTTGTGGACCTGATAGTCCGATTGGTGATATGGATATCGCTTCTATACGTGACTATCCAAAATCTTTGGAATATCTTGAAAAATCTTATCCTCAATTTTTTGTCAATGCCCGTCAAGTCTTGAGTCTAGAAAATCACCGTAAAGGTAGCATTTTAGGTGGAAATCATTTGACTGATGATATACCTCTTCAGTCTGAAAATGATACCATAGTTAACGGCAATAATTCTGTAACAACTCTCTACGATGAATTTAAAAGAATTTTACTTTGTCCAAGATCTGAAATGGACGATGTTGAATGGGACATTTCTATTTATGAACTTTTGGACCCTTGGCCACTTCTTGTTGCCCAGTTTGAAGAAATTATTGCTCAAGAAATTAAAGAGTGATAAAAATTTTTGTATATTTTTTTCTATTTTCGCATGTTACTACCCATATGACTTATCATTAGCTTTTGAACATTTCTTCACAATGGTTATTTTCTCCATAAACCTCTTATTAATAACTTCACAATTACCTTTTTTTTTTCTTTTTAATTTGAATTTCTCGTTTTCTCTTCCATGTAATTCGAATCAAATTAAATCATGTTCGTTTAGATGTCATAAAAATTTGTTTATAAAAACAATTCTTTTAATCATCATTATTAAAATTCTTTGTATAATATTTTTTTTTTCACAATTCTGTTTATTTTGCATCCGTGTTACCGAAATTTCTATATTCATATGAATATTTGAATAATTCACATGACTATGTGCGAGGATGGAATACTTGGAAATATATAGTATAGAATAACGCGAAATCTATGAATGGTGCTTAAGGGACTGTAAATTCATGTGGTATTAAAATCCATCTATCCTAACTTCATAGAAAGAAATTCACAAATTAATCAAAAAAATTCAATACGAGAAAGAATAACAAAACTTTATTATACTGT